TGCGGTCGACTCTGAGGATCCCCCGGAATGATGTTGGCGGCAAGCCACGTCGAGGAGTAGCGTGGAGTGGGCCGAGCGTCGCGTTTGATGGCAGCACGGAGGCCGGGGCGAGTGGCGATGTCATTCTGTACGTGCCGGCGTTGCCGTCAACCGATCGACGCAGTATCGCGGCTCCATCGGCCTGGAGCACAGCGACGGTGTGCGAGAGCCTTCGGTGGATGAGGACAGACCGGTGAGCAAAGCAGGCGAGGACGAGGAACGTGATCTCGCGCTATTTCAGCGCTGCTGTGGTAGTATCGTGGTGGCACTGCTCGTGTCCACGGCCACCGTGTCGGCTCCGGTCGGTCGTTGGGGGCAGTGATGTGAACAAGAAGCGCTTTGTGCGCTGAGACCGGCATGGCGCCGGCATAGACGTGCTGGTCGGAATGATGTTGGCGGCAAGCCACGTCGAGGAGTAGCGTGGAGTGGGCCGAGCGTCGCGTTTGATGGCAGCACGGAGGCCGGGGCGAGTGGCGATGTCATTCTGTACGTGCCGGCGTTGCCGTCAACCGATCGACGCAGTATCGCGGCTCCATCGGCCTGGAGCACAGCGACGGTGTGCGAGAGCCTTCGGTGGATGAGGACAGACCGGTGAGCAAAGCAGGCGAGGACGAGGAACGTGATCTCGCGCTATTTCAGCGCTGCTGTGGTAGTATCGTGGTGGCACTGCTCGTGTCCACGGCCACCGTGTCGGCTCCGGTCGGTCGTTGGGGGCAGTGATGTGAACAAGAAGCGCTTTGTGCGCTGAGACCGGCATGGCGCCGGCATAGACGTGCTGGTCGGAATGATGTTGGCGGCAAGCCACGTCGAGGAGTAGCGTGGAGTGGGCCGAGCGTCGCGTTTGATGGCAGCACGGAGGCCGGGGCGAGTGGCGATGTCATTCTGTACGTGCCGGCGTTGCCGTCAACCGATCGACGCAGTATCGCGGCTCCATCGGCCTGGAGCACAGCGACGGTGTGCGAGAGCCTTCGGTGGATGAGGACAGACCGGTGAGCAAAGCAGGCGAGGACGAGGAACGTGATCTCGCGCTATTTCAGCGCTGCTGTGGTAGTATCGTGGTGGCACTGCTCGTGTCCACGGCCACCGTGTCGGCTCCGGTCGGTCGTTGGGGGCAGTGATGTGAACAAGAAGCGCTTTGTGCGCTGAGACCGGCATGGCGCCGGCATAGACGTGCTGGTCGGAATGATGTTGGCGGCAAGCCACGTCGAGGAGTGGGCCGAGCGTCGCGTTTGATGGCAGCACGGAGGCCGGGGCGAGTGGCGATATCATTCTGTACGTGCCGGCGTTGCCGTCAACCGATCGACGCAGTATCGCGGCTCCATCGGCCTGGAGCACAGCGACGGCGTGCGAGAGCCTTCGGTGGATGAGGACAGACCGGTGAGCAAAGCAGGCGAGGACGAGGAACGTGATCTCGCGCTATTTCAGCGCTGCTGTGGTAGTATCGTGGTGGCACTGCTCGTGTCCACGGCCACCGTGTCGGCTCCGGTCGGTCGTTGGGGGCAGTGATGTGAACAAGAAGCGCTTTGTGCGCTGAGACCGGCATGGCGCCGGCATAGACGTGCTGGTCGGAATGATGTTGGCGGCAAGCCACGTCGAGGAGTAGCGTGGAGTGGGCCGAGCGTCGCGTTTGATGGCAGCACGGAGGCCGGGGCGAGTGGCGATATCATTCTGTACGTGCCGGCGTTGCCGTCAACCGATCGACGCAGTATCGCGGCTCCATCGGCCTGGAGCACAGCGACGGCGTGCGAGAGCCTTCGGTGGATGAGGACAGACCGGTGAGCAAAGCAGGCGAGGACGAGGAACGTGATCTCGCGCTATTTCAGCGCTGCTGTGGTAGTATCGTGGTGGCACTGCTCGTGTCCACGGCCACCGTGTCGGCTCCGGTCGGTCGTTGGGGGCAGTGATGTGAACAAGAAGCGCTTTGTGCGCTGAGACCGGCATGGCGCCGGCATAGACGTGCTGGTCGGAATGATGTTGGCGGCAAGCCACGTCGAGGAGTAGCGTGGAGTGGGCCGAGCGTCGCGTTTGATGGCAGCACGGAGGCCGGGGCGAGTGGCGATGTCATTCTGTACGTGCCGGCGTTGCCGTCAACCGATCGACGCAGTATCGCGGCTCCATCGGCCTGGAGCACAGCGACGGCGTGCGAGAGCCTTCGGTGGATGAGGACAGACCGGTGAGCAAAGCAGGCGAGGACGAGGAACGTGATCTCGCGCTATTTCAGCGCTGCTGTGGTAGTATCGTGGTGGCACTGCTCGTGTCCACGGCCACCGTGTCGGCTCCGGTCGGTCGTTGGGGGCAGTGATGTGAACAAGAAGCGCTTTGTGCGCTGAGACCGGCATGGCGCCGGCATAGACGTGCTGGTCGGAATGATGTTGGCGGCAAGCCACGTCGAGGAGTAGCGTGGAGTGGGCCGAGCGTCGCGTTTGATGGCAGCACGGAGGCCGGGGCGAGTGGCGATGTCATTCTGTACGTGCCGGCGTTGCCGTCAACCGATCGACGCAGTATCGCGGCTCCATCGGCCTGGAGCACAGCGACGGTGTGCGAGAGCCTTCGGTGGATGAGGACAGACCGGTGAGCAAAGCAGGCGAGGACGAGGAACGTGATCTCGCGCTATTTCAGCGCTGCTGTGGTAGTATCGTGGTGGCACTGCTCGTGTCCACGGCCACCGTGTCGGCTCCGGTCGGTCGTTGGGGGCAGTGATGTGAACAAGAAGCGCTTTGTGCGCTGAGACCGGCATGGCGCCGGCATAGACGTGCTGGTCGGAATGATGTTGGCGGCAAGCCACGTCGAGGAGTAGCGTGGAGTGGGCCGAGCGTCGCGTTTGATGGCAGCACGGAGGCCGGGGCGAGTGGCGATGTCATTCTGTACGTGCCGGCGTTGCCGTCAACCGATCGACGCAGTATCGCGGCTCCATCGGCCTGGAGCACAGCGACGGCGTGCGAGAGCCTTCGGTGGATGAGGACAGACCGGTGAGCAAAGCAGGCGAGGACGAGGAACGTGATCTCGCGCTATTTCAGCGCTGCTGTGGTAGTATCGTGGTGGCACTGCTCGTGTCCACGGCCACCGTGTCGGCTCCGGTCGGTCGTTGGGGGCAGTGATGTGAACAAGAAGCGCTTTGTGCGCTGAGACCGGCATGGCGCCGGCATAGACGTGCTGGTCGGAATGATGTTGGCGGCAAGCCACGTCGAGGAGTAGCGTGGAGTGGGCCGAGCGTCGCGTTTGATGGCAGCACGGAGGCCGGGGCGAGTGGCGATATCATTCTGTACGTGCCGGCGTTGCCGTCAACCGATCGACGCAGTATCGCGGCTCCATCGGCCTGGAGCACAGCGACGGCGTGCGAGAGCCTTCGGTGGATGAGGACAGACCGGTGAGCAAAGCAGGCGAGGACGAGGAACGTGATCTCGCGCTATTTCAGCGCTGCTGTGGTAGTATCGTGGTGGCACTGCTCGTGTCCACGGCCACCGTGTCGGCTCCGGTCGGTCGTTGGGGGCAGTGATGTGAACAAGAAGCGCTTTGTGCGCTGAGACCGGCATGGCGCCGGCATAGACGTGCTGGTCGGAATGATGTTGGCGGCAAGCCACGTCGAGGAGTAGCGTGGAGTGGGCCGAGCGTCGCGTTTGATGGCAGCACGGAGGTCGGGGCGAGTGGCGATGTCATTCTGTACGTGCCGGCGTTGCCGACAACCGATCGACGCAGTATCGCGGCTCCATCGGCCTGGAGCACAGCGACGGTGTGCGAGAGCCTTCGGTGGATGAGGACAGACCGGTGAGGAAAGCAGGCGAGGACGAGGAACGTGATCTCGCGCTATTTCAACGCTGCTGTGGTAGTATCGTGGTGGCACTGCTCGTGTCCACGGCCACCGTGTCGGCTCCGGTCGGTCGTTGGGGGCAGTGATGTGAACAAGAAGCGCTTTGTGCGCTGAGACCGGCATGGCGCCGGCATAGACGTGCTGGTCGGAATGATGTTGGCGGCAAGCCACGTCGAGGAGTAGCGTGGAGTGGGCCGAGCGTCGCGTTTGATGGCAGCACGGAGGCCGGGGCGAGTGGCGATGTCATTCTGTACGTGCCGGCGTTGCCGACAACCGATCGACGCAGTATCGCGGCTCCATCGGCCTGGAGCACAGCGACGGTGTGCGAGAGCCTTCGGTGGATGAGGACAGACCGGTGAGGAAAGCAGGCGAGGACGAGGAACGTGATCTCGCGCTATTTCAACGCTGCTGTGGTAGTATCGTGGTGGCACTGCTCGTGTCCACGGCCACCGTGTCGGCTCCGGTCGGTCGTTGGGGGCAGTGATGTGAACAAGAAGCGCTTTGTGCGCTGAGACCGGCATGGCGCCGGCATAGACGTGCTGGTCGGAATGATGTTGGCGGCAAGCCACGTCGAGGAGTAGCGTGGAGTGGGCCGAGCGTCGCGTTTGATGGCAGCACGGAGGCCGGGGCGAGTGGCGATGTCATTCTGTACGTGCCGGCGTTGCCGTCAACCGATCGACGCAGTATCGCGGCTCCATCGGCCTGGAGCACAGCGACGGTGTGCGAGAGCCTTCGGTGGATGAGGACAGACCGGTGAGGAAAGCAGGCGAGGACGAGGAACGTGATCTCGCGCTATTTCAACGCTGCTGTGGTAGTATCGTGGTGGCACTGCTCGTGTCCACGGCCACCGTGTCGGCTCCGGTCGGTCGTTGGGGGCAGTGATGTGAACAAGAAGCGCTTTGTGCGCTGAGACCGGCATGGCGCCGGCATAGACGTGCTGGTCGGAATGATGTTGGCGGCAAGCCACGTCGAGGAGTAGCGTGGAGTGGGCCGAGCGTCGCGTTTGATGGCAGCACGGAGGCCGGGGCGAGTGGCGATGTCATTCTGTACGTGCCAGCGTTGCCGTCAACCGATCGACGCAGTATCGCGGCTCCATCGGCCTGGAGCACAGCGACGGTGTGCGAGAGCCTTCGGTGGATGAGGACAGACCGGTGAGGAAAGCAGGCGAGGACGAGGAACGTGATCTCGCGCTATTTCAACGCTGCTGTGGTAGTATCGTGGTGGCACTGCTCGTGTCCACGGCCACCGTGTCGGCTCCGGTCGGTCGTTGGGGGCAGTGATGTGAACAAGAAGCGCTTTGTGCGCTGAGACCGGCATGGCGCCGGCATAGACGTGCTGGTCGGAATGATGTTGGCGGCAAGCCACGTCGAGGAGTAGCGTGGAGTGAGCCGAGCGTCGCGTTTGATGGCAGCACGGAGGCCGGGGCGAGTGGCGATGTCATTCTGTACGTGCCGGCGTTGCCGTCAACCGATCGACGCAGTATCGCGGCTCCATCGGCCTGGAGCACAGCGACGGCGTGCGAGAGCCTTTCGAGGTTATACGGGGGATTTACTAAACAGCGGACGGCGACCTCAGTGTATTGATGAACTGGCCCAATACACTGGAGCCACTTTCGAACTTGGTACCTGCGGACCGAGAGCAGATTGAGCGTGCTAACAGTATTGCAGGCAACTAACACGCTTCAAATACATATCCTTTGTTTTTCCTCTAGCTACCTGTTTGTTTTATTTTTCAAAGATATTCAACACCGTCCTTGCCAACGTGTTTGATGTGTGCTTGCCAGCATAAGCTGCTCAGTGTAGTATGCAGCTTCAAATATTACTCAACACAATCGAGCTCACTATGGAAATGCCAAAGTCATGTTCCCCGTTCTGCTGCTTGAACAGAGAGAGGTTCACTGTTGGGGAGGCGGTAAAGGGAGCTTGTGTCGTGGGGCTCTGGGTCCCTTGTCACTCAGATCAGTTGTATAATATAACAACGACATCTTTAGTTGTAAACGATTTATTTGATTTAGATTTACGACTTTCATGTCCTGCGCAGGATGCTAGCGGACGACATGACGCTATTCTCCCTCCACAACCGTACCAGAAGGCGTCATGACAGCAAATGGGTCCTTGACTTACGATTTCGGGAGGTTTTGGGCGGATAGTTCGTCTACCGCTTCTGTCACGCTGACCGCGAGTTCTGCTTGATCAGCCACCCACTCGTTGTAGTATCCTTTCCACACTTCCACGTAGCTCTCACAGGCTTCGTGAGACTCCTGCGCCAGTTCGAGCTGGTTCCCGACAACTTCAGCCTCTGCTGACACATCCAGGTAAAGACGCTTCAGCTGACGGCAGAGTCGATCTTCTCCAGTGGTCGTGACGATGCTGAAGAAGAACTACGTGACTTGGTTTCGACTGATAATTGTAGTCGCCGGCGTCCACACAAAGTCTTCATAGAACTCGCGCCATCGGAGGATAGCACTTTCAGTCGCTTCTTGGCCCTAGTGAAAACATCAACATCAATCTATAATATTGTCAATGCCATAGATCAGAGACTTACCTGATCCTCGAGACTCCTCTTCACCACGAGCTTTCCCGACTCTTTCACTTGATGCCGTACCTTGTCCAGGTCAGCCCCAGGGAGAAACCGAGTCGGGCCACGGCAACCCTCTTCCTTCATCCGGCCTAGTGTACCTTCGAAAGTACCTGGTAAAAGCTTCAATTGAGCCGAGTCTCCCAGCTCCGATATCACAAATCGCACTCCTTGTTGCGAAGCGACTAGCGCAGTCGATACCGCAACGTTTGCCCTGCCAACAATGCCCAACAGCTCACCAAGACTGCTGCAGCAACTTGTCAGTCGATTGCTCATTTCATGCGAGTTCGAGACGATGCCTGCGACCAGCGAGTTCACGTCTTGCAGCAGCTGTATCAGATTAGTTTCCCGCTCGCTCGAAGCTTGAGTCGCAGCACGCACTTGCTTGAGCTCCTTCTGCAACGTCGTGATCGTCTCAATAGCTTTTTGGAACCTCTCTTTGAGCATCTGGTTTTCCTTGACACGCTCACTGTTCTTGTCCACGTCTGCCCTGAATCGAATCCCGTCGGTCTCGCGCTGGTGTTTCTCGTCTTTGAGAGCATTCTCTGCCTCCAGAGCACGCTTGGACATCTCATCCAGCTTGGCTTGCAGGTTTCGGACTTGCACGTTCGCATTCTCCTCTGCTCTCTCAGCCTTCGCCTTTGCCTCTCGAAGCAGCTGAGCTACCTCGGTGTCTTGCTTGTCGTTCTTGTCCTCTTTGTTCTTGATCATGCTGAAACACTGCTGAGTGAGCAGGTAATTTTTGTCGGCCATGTTCTCAGCCTTCCTCGTCGAATGTATCAGGCGCTCGCGCTCGCGCTCGAGGTCATTCACTCTCTCTCGTAGTTTAGCAACCTCGGCGTCACGATCTCCGGTGGGGGAGCTCACTTTAGATGATCCCATTGCTTGAACGACACGCGGGAGGGGGAGGTAGTGGGGAGGCGCGCGGGTGGGGGGGGCGAGATGATGGCGTGCAGAACGACAGGGGGGAGGATTCGCACTGGATTCGCAAAAACTGGCTACGAAGCCACACACCTTGTTACCTATCCCTAGAATTTACTGAACATAGAAAACCCGCGAGATATTGCTTGTAGCAGCCTCCGACATGTTTCATGAACGCTTAGGTGCTATTCTTGCCACAATGTCGGAGGTGCATGTAGGAGGTATGTCAGCTGGAAGGACAAAAAATTGATACAATGATCTGTTTTATGCAGATTCATACAAAAATCTTTATACGAGTATGTATGAGCCTCCGACAAGCAAACAATCTTGCTTCCACGGAGATGAGCACGGGGAATGAGGGGTTAATAAATATCAGGTGTTCCGATAAGTATTATATTAGGCCAAGCGTCACGACGGGGGAGACGTAATCGCCCCCGTTCCGCTCGCCTCGTCGGCTCGCTGCACTACTCGCCGTGTTATTAGTACATACTCGTAGGGCGGGCCCTGCGGCCCGCTGCCGCCTTCGCTCCGCTCGGCAGCAAATCGGAATTAGTGGGGTGGGGTTTTAGCCAATAGGAATTCACGTGATCTACGGATTGATTCTTAGGATGCCTGCAACCACTGTGTTGCGGGTTGGCCGCTGCGCCGGGCCCAGCTCATTACCAGGCGGTTAATCGCAGCCACCAACTGGATCGGCACGCCATATGAAGCTCTGAACGTCATGACCGACGGATCTTGCAGACGCACGATGCTCGCCGCGCGTACGCGCTTGGGCGCACCATGATAAGGCTCCTTAGTGACTCATGGCCGAAAGGCGTCTTCAACCGACCGGCTCCGCTCGCTATATGTGAGCGCTGCCACCTCCCAGCAATAGCGTACGCGTTGACACACACGAGCCAAATGACAAACGCTTGGTAGTCAAACGATACGTAGATTTACTTAACAACAAAACATGGGTAACGCTACGGGTTTGCGCGGGTCAAGCGCAGCGAGTGCACATACGGCCTTGATCACGCGAAACAGTCAATAACACGGTACATCGATCTTCTTCAGACTGGAGGCGGCTGGTGGCCCATCAGTGGTGGGTCGGCCGATCGATTGATCGATCGATCGATCGATCGACCGGTTGGTGGGTGTGCCGACGCAACTTACTCCGAGCGCAGCTTGCGGTACTGGGTCGCCGCACCAGCATTCGCCCTGGCGCTTGCGCTCGCACTCGCGGAGGCGCCAGCACCAGCGTTCGCTGCACCAGCAGCACCAGCGTTGCCCACGGCGCCGCCATTGTAGCCATTGTAGACGCCAACGTTGTTGTAGCCATTGTAGCCATTGTAGCCATTGTAGCCATTGTAGCCGACGCCCACGCCACCCACACCGACGCCTACACCGCCGAGCCCGACGCCCACACCACCGACGCCGACGCCAACGCCACCCAGGCCCACACCAACGCCGTGTCCGTAGTATCCGGCAGGGTAGCCGTAGAGGCCAACGCCGAGATGTCCAAACGTCTGGGCAGCTTGTTGCTCCGCGTGCACGCCGCTCGAGAGTGCCGCGACGGCGAGGCACAGGACGGCGATCTTGTTGTTGTTGCCGATCATGGTGTTACGTTGAGTGATGTTGGTTGGGTAGTTGATAGGAAGACGTAGTGGAGCTCGATTTAACGAGAGAAAGAGAGAGAGGAGAGGATGGTCTCTTGTGGCTTGGTAGTTGACTCGAGAGAGAAGAACGAGGAATGAACTCGGAGGAGCAGGCAGGCCGACAGCCTCTTGCGCGTGCTACATTGGCTCCGCTACGCTGCAATATCGAAAGCCGGTCACAAGGCATTGCAATCACAGCAGCCTGCGCTCGTGTGAGGGTCATGATGACCACCACCACCACCATCAAAAACAGCAGCAGGCAGCACCCTTCATTCGAGCAGGTGTAGATCTTCCAAAGCTTGAAGTGGGCTCGACTCGAGGTGCACTCGACTTGAGGTGCGGAGGCCCAGATGGATACGCATCTATCTATCTTCTTTCGCGCAAGGCTCGAGGCGATGAATTCATGTGTGTTGACCATATATATCGAGAACGAGCCGCCAGGCCAGATGGCTGGCGGCAAACTAGTATTGCATTGCGCTGCTGCGACGGCGGCTGAGACCGTTCACACATACACAGTCAAGAGGCCAGGCTACTCCAGCAGCAGTGCGGGCGTGCCTCCTTATTGCGAGCGAGGCAAGTACGCTCGCTGAAGTTGCTCGGCCCTCGACTTTTCATGCATTGATTGCCGGCCAATCGTCGTGCAGACTTCAACTTCAACTTCGTCCATACATTCTCCAGTATTGTTTGGGTGTGAGACGGGTCGGGCAGCATTGCTGTTGGTTTGGCAGCAGACTACATGTATACATGATCCCTATAGTGCTGTTGCGCTCGTTGTTGAGGATGCCTGCAACCACCATAATTGCACTGTGTTGCGGGTTGGCCGCTGCGCCGGGCCCAGCTCATTACCAGGCGGTTAATCGCAGCCACCAACTGGATCGGCACGCCATATGAAGCTCTGAACGTCATGACCGACGGATCTTGCAGACGCACGATGCTCGCCGCGCGTACGCGCTTGGGCGCACCATGATAAGGCTCCTTAGTGACCCATGGCCGAAAGGCGTCTTCAACCGACCGGCTCCGCTCGTTATATGTGCGCGCGCGTAAGTGGAGCGGGGTCTGCCACCTCCCAGCAATAGCGTACGCGTTGACACACACGAGCCGAATGACAAACGCTTGGTAGTCAAACGATACGTAGATTTACTTAACAACAAAACATGGGTAACGCTACGGGTTTGCGCGGATCAAGCGCAGCGAGTGCACATACGGCCTTGATCACGCGAAACAGTCAATAACACGGTACATCGATCTTCTTCAGACTGGAGGCGGCTGGTGGCCCACCAGTGGTGGGTCGGCCGATCGATTGATCGATCGATCGATCGATCGACCGGTTGGTGGGTGTGCCGACGCAACTTACTCCGAGCGCAGCTTGCGGTACTGGGTCGCCGCACCAGCATTCGCCCTGGCGCTTGCGCTCGCACTCGCGGAGGCGCCAGCACCAGCGTTCGCTGCACCAGCAGCACCAGCGTTGCCCACGGCGCCGCCATTGTAGCCATTGTAGACGCCAACGTTGTTGTAGCCATTGTAGCCATTGTAGCCGACGCCCACGCCACCCACACCGACGCCTACACCGCCGAGCCCGACGCCCACACCACCGACGCCGACGCCAACGCCACCCAGGCCCACACCAACGCCGTGTCCGTAGTATCCGGCAGGGTAGCCGTAGAGGCCAACGCCGAGATGTCCAAACGTCTGGGCAGCTTGTTGCTCCGCGTGCACGCCGCTCGAGAGTGCCGCGACGGCGAGGCACAGGACGGCGATCTTGTTGTTGTTGCCGATCATGGTGTTACGTTGAGTGATGTTGGTTGGGTAGTTGATAGGAAGACGTAGTGGAGCTCGATTTAACGAGAGAAAGAGAGAGAGGAGAGGATGGTCTCTTGTGGCTTGGTAGTTGACTCGAGAGAGAAGAACGAGGAATGAACTCGGAGGAGCAGGCAGGCCGACAGCCTCTTGCACGTGCTACATTGGCTCCGCAACACAGTGCAATTATGGTGGTTGCAGGCATCCTCAACAACGAGCGCAACAGCACTACAGGGATCATCTATACATGTAGTCTGCTCTACAATGGCTACAACAACGTTGGCGTCTACAATGGCTACAATGGCGGCGCCGTGGGCTACGCTGGTGCTGCTGGTGCAGCGAACGCTGGTGCTGGCGCCTCCGCGAGTGCGAGCGCAAGCGCCAGGGCGAATGCTGGTGCGGCGACCCAGTACCGCAAGCTGCGCTCGGAGTAAGTTGCGTCGGCACACCCACCAACCGGTCGATCGATCGATCGATCGATCAATCGATCGACCGACCCACCACTGGTGGGCCACCAGCCGCCTCCAGTCTGAAGAAGATCGATGTACCGTGTTATTGACTGTTTCGCGTGATCAAGGCCGTCTGTGCACTCGCTGCGCTTGATCCGCGCAAACCCGTAGCGTTACCCATGTTTTATTGTTAAGTAAATCTACGTATCGTTTGACTACCAAGCGTTTGTCATTCGGCTCGTGTGTATCTGCTCTCACTGAGTGTTTGCTCTGTGTTGTTCGCCTGGTATGGAATGCAACTCCGAGCTAGACGCTCCCTACATCCCGGAACCTACTAGCAGGGATAATACTAAGGAATGTATGCCCAAAGTTGGTACAGGGATTTTGTGAATACATTGGCGTCTTCAGTAACCCAACTCGTCCCGTTACCCTCTCAGTGCTTATAGCGCTCTTCCTCCGCGTAGTACTCCGTAAAGCCGACCACGTCTTTCACATGGGCAAAATCACACAGCAAGTTGTCCAGCGCCGCGCTGGGCGTCGCGTTGTGTCCAGCTTCGTCGTTCCTGTCACTCCCTGTCTGGCACTTGAGCAGTCTCAGCGCCTCCTCCATCGCCTTGATACTGGCACTCAGCAGCGTGATCGGGTACGCCGCCAACTTGTAGCCCATTTTGCCGAGTTCCTCGGGCAGCAGCACCGGCGTGAGCCCGTTCTCCACCATGTTGGCCATCTTGGGGCCTGGCACTTCTCTGCAGTACGTCTCCATCTCCTCCACCGACTGCGGGGCCTCGAGGAACGTGATGTCAGCCTCGAGTCTCTTGAACTCCTTGCAGCGGGCGATGGCCTCATCCAGCGAGTGAGTTCCTCGGGCGTCCGTCCTCGCCATGATGACAATGTCGAATCCCCCCTCGGCGCGAGCGTCCACCGCTGCACGCACCCGCGCGAACGCTTCGTCGCGCGAGACAACCGCCTTGCCGGCGGTGTGCCCACATCGCTTCGGGGACACTTGGTCCTCCAGCATGATGCCAGCCATGCCCGCCTGGGCGTAGGCGGCCACCGTCCTCTTGACGTTCATGGCGTTGCCGTAGCCCGTGTCTCCGTCGCCGATGCACGGCACGTGGCGCAGCGACTCGCAGACTGTCGCGGCAGTGCGGACCATCTCACCGAAGGACAGAAGCTAAAAATACAGTAAATGGTGAGGACCACGGAGGACGTGGGGGGGAGTGTATACATCTAACCTGAGTGTCCGGCACACCGTGGACGGCGGACACGCCGAAGCCCGTCATGAAGGTCACCTCGAAGCCTTGGCGGAGGTGACGCGAAGGTTAGAGACACAAGTTGGCAGTGTCTAAATAAACGGGTGAGAGGGGCGGGCAGTACCTGCGCGCTCGATGAGCTTGGCGCTGAGGCCGTCGAAGCAGCAGGGCATGACGGCGACGCCATCGCGCTCGAGCAGCTCGCGGAGCCGCGCCACGCGCTGGGGCTGCGTGGAGCGGGAGGCCATGTCGGACACTCACTCGTCGGAGTCGCGAATCTTGCTTGGCGGCGATTGAAGTTTAGAGACGCACGCCTGAGTATGATACCACTGGGTTGGCCATTCGGGGGGGGGGGCAAAAATTGCCGTGCCACTGTGCTGATTTCGCTGCTCATTCTGCTCCAACGGCGGCAGCGGCGTCTGACACGACCTCAGCCCGGCAAGGACCGATGAACGCCCGCTTTGCTGCTTGTGCCGCAGCACGCTTCAGTCAAGCTCACGTGGCGCGATGGCGAGACGGTGGACATCCGCAGCTGCGATGCAAATCAAAAGCGCCGCGCTCGTTCCCGCCATCAACCCCATTGAAGAAGGGTCGCCGATCTTTGCTGGGTGGTACTATTCCGTACGCAAGGCTTTTCTGGAATAGCAACTGCCTGAAACCTCCAAAACCTGATCACCGTTTCTACGAAAATATGCTTCTGCGCAGTTCTTGATTGTCGCTGGTTCACTGCAACGGGCATCATCCACGGAAATGTACCTGGGGCGACTCGTAATCGGCCTCACTTCCATACACGCCGGCTTCAGTGCACGTTAGCACTAGCCTAGAGCGACAAGGAGCAGCAGCAGCAGCAACACCACCTAACGAGCAAGTCAAGGAGACAAGGCAGCAATATGGCAGACAAGAAGCAGACGCAGCAGCAGCTCCCGTTGCCGACGCCCGGCGCCGAGCCCGGATTCGTGGGCGAGAGCCCCAGCAACGGCGAGTACGTGACCGTGCTCACGCCCGACAACAAGGCGCTGACTCCGAACCCCGCGGGCGCCGACTTCGACCCCAACGGACTGCGCATGAACGTGTGGACTGTGGACCTGCACGACGCCGACCTGCGCACGGCCTACTACTGGTGGGTCTGCTGCTGCCCGTGCGTGCCGCTCTCGCAGCTCGAGACGCGCCTGGGGCTCAACTCGTGCGGCACCGGGTTCACGCTGGACCTGATTGCGTATGCGGGCCGGTTCCTCTTCCTGGTGTTAACACTACTTAACCTGCTGGAGGGCAACTTCACGGCTTTCATCGTCTCCCTCGTGCTCTTCGTGGCCTGCCTCCTCTGGGTGGCGCAGCGCGTGGCCCGCGTGCGCGAGCAGACCCGCGAGCGCCTGGACATCGCCGGATCCAGCAAGGACGACCGCTACACCGCCTGCCTGCGCAGCGCCAGCGCCATCCGCCAGATGGCCGTGCAGCTCAAGTGCGACCAAGTCCACTTCGCCGCCCCCGCCACGCTCCAGGCCTACCAGGTTTAAGCTAGTGTTAACCACTGGCTGGGGTTAGACACTCAAGGTGTCGCAGCAATTTTTTTATCTCATTGCAACGAGGAGAAAGAAAAAGGGAAAGCAAAATAAAAATATGAGTTTTGTTTTTTTTTAAGATGCGACGAGGGAAGTGGAGATAGCTACAGATTTGGATATGGCTACACACGAGTTGAAGTGGAGCCTTTGATAGACATTTAGCTTGTTACTTTTAGTTAACTTCTCTCTCCCTATTTACTTGCAGCTTAATCCACGGCGCTCATGTCGAGTCTGGTGGTAGTTTGACGCGTGGGCAGCACGGCGGGGTCCAGGTGCGTGATGGTGTGCTTCCTCGCGGCCTGGTACACGTTCTCGGCGGCGTTGCAGAGCTCGGCGAACTGCGCCAGCACCTCTTCGGTCGAGGCTCCCGCCTGGATGCGAGGAATCTGTGGCATGGTGGGCGGTGTCCACACCGTCGCGCGTTCTCCCTCAGTCGTCGGCCACAACGGCACCCCCGTCTCCTTCGGCAATGGCGTCGGCGACGCCAGCGGCGATGATGGTGGGGAAGGCCACGACTCGGACGCGGTTTTGTTGGTTGGGGACGGCACAACCGCTCCCCAAGCGTACTCCACCACCGCCTCGGGGAGCGAGTCGTCCATCGCAACGGTCTGCGAGCTCACGACGGGGCTGTTGTCGTCTTCCGTGTCCGAGTCAACGTCCCAGATATCTCGCTGAGCGGCAGCAGGAGACGGAGCTGCAGTCTTGACCGAAGCGGACTTGGTAATGGTCTGCCTGCTGGTGGTTCTCGTGCTGGTACTGGCGCTGGTCTTGCGTGGCTGCGAGCTGGCGGAAGGCTGCACCGGCTTCGCCTTGTCGGCGACTTTGGTCTTATAGTTTTCGCGAGCAGGAGAAGACTTGGGCTCCACATTCCTCTCGGTTGGACGCGGTGCGCGGCTCACTCGTCGAACAGGGGCTGTTTGGAACACCTTGTCGACGTTGATCGCCCCCTTGCCGTGTCCTCTGTCGCTGCTGGCCGTGATTACCGTTCCGCGCCTCTGTCTGACAGGTTCGGGGCGGCTCTGACTGCGCGTGATGCGTCCGGGGGCTTCAGACCCTCGCAGCGTTCCACGGCGCTGGCCCAGACGTTTGCGCTCACTCACTTCCTCCTTTGCGATCTCCATCGAGTTGAGCTTCCTTGCGTCCGTCAAGCAGTGCGTGCAGATGACCACGGACCGCTCGTCGATGGCCTTGAATCCCATACCCGGCACGTACAGCTTCTTCTTGACGCAACAGGACGAGCACGCGCGGACGCTGCAGACTCGACAGGTGTGCGCTCGCGAGAAGGTGCCCATCGGTCTCATACAAACTCCACAGTCGTTGCGCTTCTTGATCTTGATGCTGCTGGGTCGTGCAGCCCCAACCGCAGCTTCGTCCGTTGTCGGGTGGGCCAGCAGCCACGCCAGCTTCTTGTTCTGCGCGCACAGCGCCGCCTTCAAGCAGTACGTGAGACTGTTGGCCGCCGATAGCAGCGCCACCCCCTCGTGCACCGACCCGTTCGGCTCGAAGTTGGTCTTCATGTACACGTCCACCGTGTTGCCCGACGTCTGTCGGTACAGGAAGCACGACGATACTCGGCCTCGAATGATCCGCTTTCCTTCGAGCGGACCGAAGCCTTTGCCCAGATCGACCGAGTGCATCATGTGGTAGCCCACGCGTTCGCCTCCTTCGCGGTTCAAGATGCCTGTTGCTGCGATGAAAGTGAGGTCCCGAGGCCAGACGAAAGCCTTGACGGCGGGGGACGTGGCCTTGACGACCCACTTCAACCCGAGGAACCGGAACGGGTCCTCCGCTGTCGGGCCCTGGATTGTGTATATTGTGTCGGCGTCCACGACCTCTTCTTGGGTGTACGAAGACTTGATCAACGTCCCTGTGCCGTCGAACGTGGCAGTGCCGTACATGACGTCGTCCAGCGTGCCCTCGATCGTTCCTACTTGGAGCAGCGTCGGCATGTTCCACTCGCCGTTGCCGGCCGGCCCCGAACCTCGGTTGGGGAACGGCCACTCTCCTTCTGAATTGGAATCCTTCGGAGCCGAGGACACCGAGTCGGAGGAATCTGTCGCGCGAGCCAACCGCATGGCTTCTAGTGTCCTACTACGCGCTCGCCTCCTGGTGCCTCCTGACGGAGCTGTAACTACTGCGTCGTCCGCGGGCACTCGCCGATAGACCGTGAGCTGCTCGCAGGTCTTGACGGGCTTCCACATGGCCGGGTGCAGTTGATACCGAAGACTCGGAGGACGCGAGGCCTGCCACTTTTGATACTTGTCGTAGTCCCGCAGCGCGCGCGAAAGCTGCATCAGTGCCGTGTTCACGAGCTTTTCCCTGTTCGAGTCGGAGAGCTGCAGCGGCGGGAACACCTTCTCCTGGATCGGGAACCGGTGGCTCATGCTGCCTCTGAATCTCAATACTTAGTGTGCGCCGCAGTGACTGACCGTCGTCTCGAGCTGCGGTTCTGGCGGCAAGATGGAGAGTGGGGTCGGCCTCCCAGCGCTGTCTAGCGCGCGTGCACTTCTTTGTCCGGTAACTAACATCGGCTGTTCATTCCTCGCACAAGGGAGCCGCAAATCGAGAGGAGCTCAACAGGATCGGACATTGGTCCGATGCTCCTGTCCGAGCTTTGCCCCCTCGAGCACTCGAATCGAGATGGTAACTCGCCAAAGCGGCTCGAAATCCGAACGCTTGTCGTATCGGACACGACTCGAACGCGGTTGTCACCAACTCGCACCCTCGGCGCCATAGTGCTGCAGTGATGGAATGCACTACACAGGTGGAGGAAGGGGGTGTACCGTAGTTGCATGTCCTCAAGGACAAATTCACTTTGTACACGGAATCGAAGCGGAGGGGTAACAAACGTTCGGGGTCGTCGTGTCGGCGGGTTAGATCCCCGCGCTGCATCATGCGAGAGAGCTCGTGAGACGCTCCGCGCGCGGAGCCTCCACAGGTTTTCACCACCCCAGGAGAGCCACTCGGCCACAAAAGGGCAGGCGACGATAAACTCGCTTTCAAGTGGGGGGCAACGAGGTGACAACCGCCTACCGACTCACCGAATTCATGCAAATGCACACCGATACGAAAGACTCCATTCCGTGGCATGAAGCAGTGGGGTCGAAGCGGTGTACCGTGCCGAAGTCTTGCATGTACAGTCACTCACTCCTCTTCCTCTTCGCCACTTGGTTTACCAGCACCAACCTCAATGATAACCTCGCCCTTGTAAGCCAACGGACACTATGTCTGTAGGCTAGGGGTCATTTCTCACAGCGTGCCATCCTTTTCGATGGTGTTGAGGCTTTCCACTCGCCTGCAGGGCGGACCGTCATGAACTTTTTATTCTTTTCCGCCCTCGAGCTGGTGTCGGGTGTCGGAACCCCGAATTTCCTTCAGCGGCGGCGAAAGTATCGCCGCATTTTCCAACCATCACGGCTGTCGACAGTGCTGTCGCAGCAGTATCGTGGTGCGGCTGCCATTTGCACGCGCCATCCGCTTGGTTGTCTCGGGTTTTGCCATTGCTATTGCTGTATATCGTCATCGGCCGGATCAGGAGCTTGTCTGTGTTGCAGTCCACGGTCCTCTTCAACTTGACCTGCACTTTATCAATCGTGATTCACGACCACCTGGCGAATTGGGGATCACCTCGCCCCACCAATACCCCCTCGTGTCTCTCTGTCGCCAAAACAGAGAGTACCCCTCCGCTTATCGAAGTTGGTGGGGTTTGCTAGCGTAGAGGCTCGCCATGACGGCCACGAACTCATCGAAGTCGAGCGTGGCGTCCTTGTCGCGGTCGAACTCGTGGTAGATCTGCTCCACGTCCTCGCGCGTGAGGCCGCTGGAGACAACGGGCTCGGAGGATCGACCGCCGGCCTTGTGCTCGCGAGTCATGACGGCCGCCATGACGTCGTCGTCGTCCACGCGCAGCGACTCCATGATCTCCTGCATACTCACGCCCCCATCGCCATTGTGGTCGAACACGCAGAAGATGGCCATCAACTCGTTCCGGTGCTCGGGCAGCAACTTGCCCCCAGGGTTGGCGAACGGGTTGCGCGACGGTGACGAGGACTTGGCACTGCCGAGCGTGGCCCCGTTCAGTCCGAAGAGGAAGGACCGGACGCTGCCGACCTTCGCGAGCTGGAGCATGCCGTCGACCTGCTCCTTCGTGGCGTAGTGGAAGCAGGTAGAGAGCAGCTCACGCAGAGAGACCTGTCCGTCACCGTTGGCGTCGATGGTCTGGAAGATGGCGGCCAGGTTATGGTAGCCCAGCTTCTCGAAAGTAGACTTGAACCGCTGCAGCTCCTCCAGCGAGATGTTGCCGGACCCATCGACGTCCATGGACCAGAAGAGGCGAATGACCGACATGACCTCCTGCACCGAGTACATGCCGAACGTCTTCTTGGTACTCACCAGCTTCGGTGAGCCAAGAACCGCTTTGGCTTTCAGTTTGGACGAACTTTTTGATGCGGCTGGGTCCTCCGCAGCGCCGTCTTCTTCCGTAGTATTGCGTTCATTCTCCACTTCATGAGCTGTCTGCAGCCCTTTGAACACGTTGCCGATGTTGGTGTTGACTTCACGCCGCTTTTGTTGCAAGTAGCTATGCATACGACGCTTCTGCTGCTTCTGCTGAGCTTGCAGTCGCATCATTCGCAGGTTCTGGCGGTGAGGCCTCCGCTTATCGTCGCGCATAGTCTCCTGCATGCGGTGCTTCGTGTCCTCAATGTGCTTACGCAGCATTTCAGCCTGCGTTTCAACGGCATTCACGTCATTGCACTCACTTGACATTGAAGTCCTGCGAACAACGACTGGAGCTGTTCCGGGTCGTCCTCTGTCCTCAGGTCCATTGTCGCAGTATCCTTGGACTTTATCGATGATGTCGTTAATCTCTCGGAGCTTATGAAGCGGTCGCAGCGGTTGTTTGTCGCTCTCGACGGCTGAATCCTCGGGGACACTTTTACCGACGTCTCTGTCCTTGCGTTGCTGCTGCTGTTGGCGGTGGCGGTGGAATTCCTCCATGTAGATCTCGTCCAGCGAGCTTCTACGTCGCATGATGGCAGCAGCACTAACGCCACTGCCTGTGCTGAGTTTTCGGGCTGGAACAATGGCCGTGAGTGAAGAAGTATCAGGTGCGGGTAGTTTTGGCTCCGACGCGGACGTCTGCAGTTGTTGCAGCACGTTTTCGTTCCGACGATGGATACCAATGTGTGTGGCACTGCTGCTGGCCATTAGCGCTCGGACGGGCGCAGTCTGTAGACGAACCGCGAGTACGGAAGCTGGGAAATGGCGCTTTAAGAACTCGGATGCCTCAAGTGATTCCCCACCTTCGTCAATTTTGTCAGGGGAGCGAGCACCGTGTCGTGCTCGCACTTCCTCCATGTTGGAATACATCTCACGAGTCTTGCGGATCAGCGTCGCGCGCGTAGCTGCCGCCTGCTGCGCGAGCTCGTACTCGGCGTGAATCTGCTGCTGGACATTCACGTCTCGCCCTCGAGTTGCAGTAATGGAGGCGGACGACGTCGGACACGTGATAGAGAGCTCGTTCTCGAGGTACGCCTTGTCCATCTTGAGCTCTCCAGGCTCCAAGAACGTGGGTGGGTTGCTGACTGCAGCTAGAGACTTTCTATCCCGACTTTCGCTTCGAAGGAGGGGCCCCACCTGACCCAAACTTTGTAGTCTCAGCAACTGCCTCGGGGTTCGAATCATCGGCGCCGACACTTTCGCCTTGGTCGGGAGCAGCGCTAGAGCTCGCAATGTCCCCGTCTTAGCTCGTGAGTCTCTAAACTTTGCGATCTTCGCTGCGCTTGTAGACGACTCGGTCAGGGACTTCTTGATCTTGATCTCCTCCTCCAGCATCGTGATCTCCGGGTTCTTGCTGATGATGTGCTCCAACAGCATCGCGTTCACGTTGCGGAGCTCGTTCACATTCCGGCGACCCACGTGCTCAGCGTACAGCGTTTGGCGTCGCAGCTCCATCTTCTCGGCGGGAGTTCGCTCGAGCTCTCGCAGTAGTTGACTCACCAAGATATCGCGCTCTTTGGTTCGAGTGGCGTTGTCTTTCCGGAATTTCCACGGCCACGGTCCTTGGTTCTCAGGGTCGAACAACTTGCCGAGGCACGAGCCGCTCCAGTCCCAGACGAACACGCGCATGTCCAGGCCGCAAGTCACGACGATATTCGGATGCCGACTGATCTCCAAGCTTGTGAGTGCATCGATGTGAGCTTGCCAACGTCGCACCAGCTTCACGTCCTGAGGGAAACTCTCGTGGCATGTGCTTCCCGGCCAGGACTTCGACTCTGGCGGGTTTATACCTGCGCTCGCTTGTGTTAAGCTGAGACCCCGTATCGACCGATTCTTGGATAGTGAAAAGGTCGATCCCTTGTTCATCAGAAACTCGGCGGCGGCCACTGCGTTCACCACCGCCGCCTCCTTCACGTGAGCAGGTGACGGAGTTTCGGCTGGCTGCTGAGAGGGTGGCTTACTGCCATTAGTTGTTGTATGTGGCATACGATTCTCCTGTCGCCGTTTTGATAGCCTTTTGAGGTCTGTGTGCGTTGCGCGGACGTTCATGTGCTCCAAGTCGTCACCCAGCAGCATGGCTCCCCTCCAGTCCCCTCCAGAAGTACCATGGCTGACAGCAAGACGGTGTTTGTCTCGTTGGTTCGGCAGGTTCCTACCGTCAACTTCCGCCGAGTCTTTCAAATAGTCCCGATAGAACATGGACTTCGGCTGGTACCCGCGTCGTAAGTACTTGCACTTGATCTCCGGGATCTTGGCTAGCGATAACCTTCGCATCATGACGGAGGGGTCCCAAATCCCCACGCAGCCTCGCTCGTCCCCGACAAACAGCAAGTAGCGGTCACTCTCCTCGTCGAAAACGACCTTCAAGCACGTCACAGCGGACGAAGTCTCCATCGGCGACTTGGCTGGGGCCGGCTGCGTCATCACCGGCACCGCCGTCAACGCGTTTTTCCGAAACATTTTCGTGTTCAGCAACATCTTGCGCGCTGCAAACTCCGCCGCTTCCGTTATGGACTCGGCACCATTGGACCTGAAAGAGGCCCCTCCTGCTTTATTATCGTCGATATCCTCATCTTCGCCCTCTTCGTCCTCCTCCTCATTGTTGCCGATGTTTTCCGGGATAGAGGATTGTTTTCGAGTTCTTCGGCGGGTTTTCGAGTTACCATGATCATTGGGGAATGCGTGCAGCAACTTGCCAGTGTAGGCGTGTAGGAGTGGTGTAACAGCAAAGAAGTACACGCCTCCTTTGGAGTCAGCACCCATGAGAATGGGGAATTCGTCCCAGAACTGCAGCACGTGCATGCTCAGTGTGTGGCCGTCTTTATCAGGAGCAGAAGTGAAACTACTCGAATTGTCTCCATCCTGATCGTAGCGGCAGTTGCCGAGGAAGACGAGCGTCTCGAAGTCCCAAAGCGAGACCTTCATCCCCTCCGGATCAGCAGCCACAGTAGCGATCATGGACGCGTGATAACTGTACGCACTGGTGGAGATGCCCCCGGGGATGTTGATGAGGCGACGCAGGACGCCAATTCCTTTCGACGAGTCCTGGTCGGAATTATCATCGATGACGATGATGGCGCTGGTGCCGGCGTCCACCAGAACGATGAGTTTGTTCTCCGAGCAGTAGTGCAGACCCACGACAGCGCACGCCGACGCGGAATTCACCACTGGAGCTTTGTTTACTGCGGAGATTCTGCGCTGAACACGAGTTTTTGACTGAAATGACTCCTGGCACTGACGCATCTGCACGAAGTTCTGGCAGTTGAAGACTCCGAGCGCTCCAAGCTCCGTCACCACGACAAGTTTCCTGCATTTCGCATCATGCGCGCAAGTCAGCAGCTCTGTAGTAGGTTCGTTATGGTTTGAGTTGCTCGGCGCCCTTGAAGCTGCAGCCGCCGGATCCGACGGAGCTGCCAATGCAGCCGTAGAACTGGATGAGGACATCCCACCGCCAGCGTCTTTCTTCTCGTTAGACTTGGCTCCACCGGCGCGGATGTTTCCAACGTGAGTGAATTCCTCACTACAAGCGCCTGTTTCGCCATCCCAAAGACTGCAAGCGGAGCCTGCGACGACCACGAACTTGTTGGCCGAGTAGTGGTAGAACGCTCGGAGCGGCACCTCGTCGAACTGCTGCACCCGAACACTCCGAAAATGCTGCAGCGTACAACTTCCCGATGTCACTACCCAGAGATCCCGCCTGTACGGGTGCATGCTCAGGAACGACAGAGTCTCCACGCGCGCCGATGGCATCCCCAGATCCACCGATTCAAGCTGAACAGCGTGTGAAGTGCTGGAAACGGAGGAACTCGAATCGCCTCGCGTGATGTCCCAGACCTTAAACATGCCCAGACAATCCGCAGTGATGGCTCGTTCCGTCTGGAAGAGCGCGAGCTGAATCCCAACAAGCGGTGCGCGATGGCCAGACAGCTTGAGAGCCACTTGTCGCGAGCCTAAATCCCAAGCCAGTGCTTCATACTCGAAGCCCGCGCTCAGTAGCAGATCGTGGTGCGTCGAGTAGCAAAGCTGTCGAACTCCGCGCTCATGGCCGACAAGAGAACCACGCGGACGGCCGTCAGTGATATCCCACAACTGAATGCTATGACGGAGGTCACAGCTAACCAGCAAGTCGTGTTGTGAGATCTCAAGCGCGTCCAGGACGAGGTCCGTATGGCCCGAAAGCCGTCGCCACAGGATTTTGGTCTCTGCATCGATAACTTTCCAAACATTGACGATGAAGTCGTTCCCCGAGCCTAGAAGCAGCGCTGACGACTCGCAGAAGCGCAGCATCAGCTGTGCCGTGGTGGTCGTGAGCCCCAAGTTCTTCAGCAGTGCGAACTCTTTCGTCGTCCTGAAGCTCAAACTGGAGATCGAAGCTGCGAAGCGCGACTCGCTCATGTCGTAGAATGAAATGGAAAAGTCCGTCGTGCTGATGGCCAACCACTGGAAGCGGTGGATGAAGACGGCGTCCAAGACCGAAACACTCGAAGCGGAGGGGGGCGCTGCAGTCGTCGGAGCCACAAACGTCACGCCGTCGCCTACTAGAAGCACGTCGTTGAACGGCACTCCGCTGTTGCCAGCTACTGACGCCGCAGCGGATCCATTCGCCTGCGTCTGCTTCTCACTCGCCACACTCACCTCAGTCACGAACTTGCCGTCGCTCATGAAAACTTTGACCGAGCGCGCGGTGTTCTCCACCACCAGGAACATGCGGAACTCGGCCGACCACCTGAGCTTCTCGATGCTCGTACTGAGTGGGTTAGCCGCTGTATTTGCGCTTGTGGGGACGTGTACGTTGGAATTGGGGGCAACTAGAGCTGTGGCTGCCGTCGTCTTCAGCGCCTTCTTCGTGTCGCGCTCGTACCGATGCTTGAGTGACGCGATCTGAGTTCGAGTCGCCACCATCCCGGCGTCGACGCAGAAACTCGTGAACTCCTCGAACTCCATGACGCCGTCGCCATTGATGTCGATGTCTTCGAACAGATCAATTAGCGCACTCACACTCGCAGCCTTCTCCGCTGCGTTCTTCGGTCGAGGCAGTCCAGGCAGCACGATCTCTACGAAGTCTAACAGAGGCAAGCCGCCGCCCAACCGCTTCTCACGCTCGCGAAACGCGTTCGCAATGGCCGAGAAGCCGGCGCCTTTGAGACGCATCATGATGTCCATGGTGGAGGAGGAATCGAGGACGATCTTCCGCCCACGAATTCAAAACAGCAGCGATCGACTCGACTCGGCTCCACTCCGCTGGAGACCGACGGTCGGCTTAACCGCCGTCAGTGAAAATAGCGGTCTATCAACATAGTAGCCGCAACGATCATAGCCCTTGCATACCTGGACAGATAACACTAACACGTCGTACGAGCATGATCCATTAGAAAATATCAACTAGATATCGATTGTCGCCAAACTAGCCCTTTCAGAGTCGTCGAGCCCCGTCCAGAATTTTGCCTCGCAGACTTGGGTGGCTCATGGCCCGCGAAAAGGTCCTTAACTCTTTCATCTTGTGTGCGAAGAAAGCCGTGTCGAAGTAGTATTGCTGCAATGCTCTGTTGGCGCGTTGCTCGCGGTCCTCAGCTGTTGAGCTCTTCAAAACTCTGACCACGGTGTTGCAGACATCGTCTCGTTCGAAGTTGGCCACGAGTCCGGAGACGTTGCGCAGTGCGTGCTCCTTCTTAGAAACGCCGCCCATGAACTGCTCGCCGTACGCGCCAGTTCTCGCTCGCACGAGCGCTCCAGACGACGGAGTGATGAGCTCATTCATCGGTGCGGCGTCCGTCGTGATGATGAACGCGTTAGACGACCGCGCCTGGTTGATGTAGTGCCCGTAGCCCTCCATCATACTCGGACACAAGAAGTACCGGCCCTGGGTGATCACGCGTCCGAAATCTTCGGCAGACAACCCGCCAGTGTGCAGTCGAACGTTGCCGCTGTCCCTGATCCGCTCTTCGTAGTCGTTGAACGCGCCGTCGTAGAGCTCTTGGTCCATGTAGAAGTCCAACGGCGGGAAGTCTGGCTGGGAAAGCCAACAGTCCAGCACTTGCCTCGTCCCCTTCTGGATGCTCTTGCCTGCTGTGTGCAGGAACGACACGTCCGAGAAATTCTTCGCGGATACTTCAGCTGCTTCACTCGCGATTAAACCGCTTTTCAGCGTCAACGCCAAGTTTGTCGTCGTGTGGCGCGTGTACACCACGCGCGTGCCTCGGGGATTTCCTTCCTGCTTGAACCACTTCCTCAAGTTCCGAGCACACAGCGCCGTCTTGCACAGAATCACATCCGCTCGCCAGTAGTGCGCGCTCTCGAGCTCGTACATTTCGATGTTGGGCATGAGGTAGAACGGCTTGGTCGCCGGCCAGTCCGGCGCGTCCGGCACCCCCTCCCAGTAGTGGTTGAAGAAGATCATGGGCGTGTTTGGGCACAAGTCGTGGTACGTGACTGAGCGATCGTGTTCCACATCGTTGAACTCGACTTCCAGCACCCATTGCGGCAACATCCTCGCCTCCAGAACTGTAAGAACCACGTTAACAAATGTAAGAAAATGTAGAATAGCCACCCCTCGCTCTACTTCTAACGCACATTTTGTGTAGGCAGCCGCGTCTTCACAGTAGCCGTAGGACCGCAGGTGATCGGGTAGTAGAATATCCACGTCGGGGCATTTCCGCAGCTTCTCCAGCAGATTCGGGTCGCTGCGATTCACCAATTCGCCGAGCTCCGCACGTTCGTTCTGTCCGATGCGTCCGAACGTCCATGGGATGACGCTCTTCTTGTGCTTCACACAGCCGCGATGCAGTGCGCTTTGGTGGAGAATGTCGCTCGAGCTAATGTGGCTACTCCAGTCCGTCAGGAACACTTCTTCCGGGTAGAACGTGGCATTCACCAGTTGGGACTCCTTGGTACTGTCGAGCACCGGGGAAGCGTCCTCCGCAGCGTCGAAGATGCGTTGGACTTGACTAACCGTAGTGAGGCCTTGGGCCACCATGGAGAGCTCCGCCCAAATCGCCCATAGTGTCAACGCCAGGGGAGCGCACAGCAGTAGGGGCAGTAGCAGTGGCGGTGATGGTGATGGTCGCGCTTTGCAGTCACTCAACCGTTTGGCCTTGCCGGGGCCAAGCTTCAAGGCGGCGTCGAAGACCTCCCTCGGAGCTACAGCAGACATCCTCATGCCCTACAACGCGAGGAAATTGGAAACTGCGCATGCAATTTCCGGAGGGGACGGACGCGAGCACTAACCGCCAGGAAACGGTCCCTGAAACCTTGTCGCCTTTCGTGAAAATGATGACTTGGCACGTCGAAGTTTGATTAAATGTCCTGTTGGTCCAGCACCTCGTAATACCCTCGGGGGCGCAGGGCTTAACGCCCGCGACAAGCTTCACAATTTCCTGTATTGTCGGCGTTAGCTGGTAGTCGTCACTGCGGTTCCGAAGAATGTGTTGACCTAGCTGTCACCTTGTGCTCATGCCGTCGTAATGTGCTACGGGAGCGACCAGGATGGCTGCGCGCACGGGAAAAACCCCGCAGCTCCTGCATATTCTGGGCGAATAAGACCGTGTCGAAGTAATACTGCTGCAACGCTTTGTTCGCTCGACGCGCCCGTCGTAGCCTTCAATACGTTGTTCACTGCTTCGCAGACCTCATCGCTGCCGAAACCTGCTACGAGGCCGGGGACGTCACGCAAAGCGTGCTCCTTGTCTGACCGACCTCCTAGGAATTGCTCACCAGCAGCTTCAGTCCTGGCTCGAATAAGCGCGCCCGAAGATGAAGTGATCAACTCGTTCATGGGCGCCACATCCGTCGTGAAGATGAAGGCCCCTGACGAGCGCGCCTGGTTGATGTAGTGGCCGTAGCCTTCCATTAGACTCGGGCACAAGAAGTACCGACCTTGTGAAACCACGCGGCCGAACTCGTCGGGCGATAGACGCCCCGTGTGCACTCGGACATTGGAACTGTTGGCGATTCGATCGCTTTAGTCGCTGAACGCGCCGTTGTACAGCCTTAGATCAACGTAAAAGTCTAGAGGCGGGAAGTCAGGACGAGACAACCAACAGTCCATAACCTGTCGAGTGCCCTTCTGGATGCTCGAGCCTGCCGTGTGCAGGAACTTGACGTCACCGAAGTTCTTCTCCCGCATCGCCTCCGCCTCACTTGCACTCATCCGACTGCGCGTGGTCAGCGCCAGATTCGACGTCGTGTGGCACGTGTACACCACAAGCGTATCTTTCGGGTTGCCCTCCTGCTTGAACCACTTGCGCAGGTACCTCGCACACCGCCGTCTTGCACAAGATCACGTCCGCTCTCCAGTAGTGTCTGCTCTCCAGCTCGTACATCTCGATATTCGGCATGAGGTAGAGAGGTTTGGTCGGGCCAGTCCGGGGCGTCCACCAGCCCCTCCCAGTAGTGGTTGAAGAAGATGAGCGGCGTGTTCGGACACAAGTCGTGGTAGGAGACCGATCGGTTGCGCGCCTCGTCCTCAAACTTGACCTCAAACACCCAGCGCGGCAACATCCTCGACTGCAAAACTGGAGCATAACCAACAACAACAACAACGCCCTCGTTAGTCCACACATTAAAACCCCACAAGTTGCATCCATTGAGCGTACACTTGGTGTAGGCTGCTGCGTCTTCACAGTAGCCGAAGGAGCGGAGCCCCGCAGGCATCATAACGTCGACGTCGGGACTTGCCGGATCTTCTCCAATAGCTGTGGGTCGTCTCGTTCTACCAGTTCTTGAGCCTCTTCGCTCCCCACTCGACCAAACGTCCACGGGATCACACTGTCTGTGGTTGACACACCCGCGATGCAGAGCTGCTTCATGTAGAATATCCTCCTCGTCGATGCGTTGGCTCCAGTCCGTGTCGAACAATGCGTCCGGGTACAAGACAGGCAGAGCCTCCTCGTCGCTTTGGGGCGTCGGGGTCACGATCCCCGCCGCGAGTAGCACGCGCTGGATCGGGCTGATCGCCTTGAGACTCGGCACCACCAGCGATAACCCGCTCACGATCGCGTACAGAGCCAACGCCAACGGAACGCACAGCAGTCGAGGGCCGCGCCGCCCTGCCCAGCGAGCTGCGCATGCGTCGGAGCATGGGGCGTCGCATTCGAACCAATGGATACGAATTGCTACCGGTCATGGATACCATGACACCGGACAGTTGCACGAACAGATGCACCGCTCCATTGACCATCGGATACCAAGGCTGCTTCAGTTGACAACGCGTTGCAAGTACCTCTTTATTCATTGCGGGGTGCCCAAAACATGTTCAAAACTGCGTGTCCTCTTCTTCCTTCCTTCAGCCACGGCCCACGACACCTTGTCTGCTACTACTGTATCTATCAGTTCGGTCTGCCAATTCACGGCTTAGCCGTAGGTTGTGGCGAGGGTTTCGGCTCGTCATCGTGCCGCCTCAAAGTGCCGTGCGAGCGGCCGAGGTGGCTGTGAGCGCGCGCAAAGTCGCGGAGCTCCTGCATCTTCTGCGCGAAGAAGACCGTGTCGAAGTAATACTGCTGCAGCGCCTTGTCGGCGCGCTTGGCGCGCTCTTCCGGTGTCGTGGTCTTGAGCATGTTCGTCACAGCATCACACACTGCACGGCCGCTGAAGTCTGCGACGAAGCCCGGGACGTCGCGCAGTGCGTGCTCCTTCTTGGACTTGCCGCCTAAGAACTGACCGTCGTGCGCGATCGCGCGAGCTTTGATCAGCGCGCCGGACGACGGCGTGATCAACTCGTTCATCGGCGCGACGTCCGTCGTGAAGATAAAGGCGCGAGACGATCGCGCCTGGTTGATGTAGTGGCCGTAGCCCTCCTGCAGACTCGAGCACATGAAGAAGGACGCGTCGGTGATCAGCCGTCCAAAGGCTGCGGGCTCCAGTCGTCCTGTGTGCAGGTGGACGTTCGGGCTCTTGTTTATCCGCTTCATGTACCTCGCTGCAAACGCTCCGTCGAATAAATCTTGAGCCATGTGCAGCTCCAGCGGCGGCAGATCCGGCCGACCCAGCCAACAGTCCAGCACCTGCCGCGTGCCCTTCTGGATGCTCGTGCCTGCCGTGTGCAAGAACGACACTTCCGAGAAGTTCTTCTCCGGCCGCGCGCTCACCTCGCTGGCGGATAACTGACTCTTGTGCGTCAGCGCCAAGTTGGACGTCGTGTGGCGCGTGTAGAGCACGCGCGTTCCCCTCGGGTTGCCCTCCTGACGGAACCACTTGCGCAGGTACCTCGAGCAAAGCGCCGTCTTGCACAGAATCACGTCCGCTCGCCAGTAGTGCTCGCTCTCGAGCTCGTACATCTCCATGTTGGGCATCAGGTACAGAGGCTTGGCCGCGGGCCAGTCGGGGGCGTCGGGCAGCTCTTCCCAGTAGTGGTTGAAGAAGATCATGGGCGTGTTCGGACACAAGTCGTGGTACGTGATCGTGCGGTTCCTCGCCTCGTCGTGGAACTTGTGCTCGAACACCCAGCGCGGCAGCATCCGCGACTCCAAAACTGCATCATTTTAAGAAAAAAAGTCAGTAAATAATAAAATAAGCAATCCTCGAAGCATCATGCGTACACTTCGTGTAGGCGGCGGCGTCTTCACAGTAGCCAAAGGACCGCAGCCCCTCGGGCAGGAACACGTCGACGTCGGGGCACTGGCGCAGCTTCTCCAGCAGCTGCGGGTCGCTCTCGTTCAGCAGCTGCGCGCGGTCCTGCGCCTCGCCCTGGCCCACGCGCCCGAAGCCCCACGAGATGACGCTCTTCTTGTGCTTGACGCAGCCGCGGTGCAGCGCCGCCTCGTGCAGGATGTCGCTCTCCTTGATGCGCTGGCTCCAGTCCGTTTTAAACACTGCGTCCGGGTAGAACGCGTCGCCGCCCGCGGGTGGCGCCTTCTCCGCGTCCTCGGCGGCGGCGGCCGCGTCCAGCAGGTGCAGCACGTCGCGGTACTCCTCCAGGTCGGCGCCGGGCGCGTCCGGCGTCACGAACGCCAGCTCGAAGGCCAGCGCGCCCAGCACCACCACAATCAGCACGCCCAGGAGCAGCAGCATCGAGCGGTTGCGCGTGGCGCCGACGCTGCCGGAGCGCGCGCGCGGCGGAGGAGCAGCAGGAACGGCGCCCATGACGTTGACAGTTGAGTTGCGTTATTGTGAGTAAAAGTAGCGCATTTTGGCGAATGGTAGACGATTATGCGTCAGATGGGTACAGTACGGTACAGCTCGAGGATACCCAGTATCGACAATGGATAGGAACGGAGGGCCTGCGGCCAAGGAGGTGTCGGGGCGACACGTGTAAGCAGTGGGCTGGGGATTGTGTTGGCGGCGCAGCTTGGACATTTGCCGGAGGCTGTTGCGGCCCGCAACAGCACTCGGCTGTCTACAGCCAGTATTCAGTTCGGAAACTGCTGCCATCGTACGTCGTTCATTGCAATGGATACGAAAGTGTTGCTGCACCTAAGAACGAGCCGACGATACGTTTGTTCAGCGCCGAAGCGCTCGAAACGCTCGACAAGTTTAGAAGCGGGCCTGGCTCAAAAGCGCCATTGCGCGAAAACTGAAGCAGGGTCGCGCGAGCGAGCCGCACAGGACGAAATCACAGTCATAATAGTGTGCCTGGCACCACGCCGAGGCGAGATCTCCGACCAAGATTGGCGAGCAGCCCGTCTTCGGGCAGTGCGAATACGAAAGCTCTGCGCCTCAACTCCACTTCAACGCCCACGGTATCAGCTGGTAAGAACGCCTACGATTTAGCCACCACATCAAAGTCGCCGCTCTAAAAAATCTCCACTCTGTAATTACCATTAGTTGGTATCTCTACAACTTTGATTTCCAACTACTGGGTACAGAATTCTGCCCGAAAAAGGAACGGATGTATAACTAATAGCCTCACATATTTAATATTATTTTCCAGTCGATGTGGCGATAGGGGGATGTGCAAGGTACTGCAAGGTACTGAGGTGAAAAATCCAGTGCCAATCATCAGCTCTCCACCCTCGTTTGAAAAATGGCGCGCATTTAGCGATCTTACTAGACTTCAAACTACATGTACCGTAGTGGTAGACTCGCACTTTTTCTTTTGCACCTCGCCCCACAAGCCCACTCCACCCATGAAGTCCACACCGTCCAAGCGTCTCCGCCTCACTTGGTCTGAGAAAGTGGGCATCCTCGACAAGGTGAAGGGCTAGATAATCCCTACGAGGTCGACCAGTTGACAGCGCTGTTGTGGTGCGAGGATGCCTGGTCAAAGGTTAGTGCTTCGACCATACGCCACTGTTGGAATCATTCCGGAATCGTAGGTAAAGCTGCTCTTCAGTTCAGTTTGAAATAACTAAATCAGTACATTGGAAAAGTATACTCAACTTAACATCAATTTATATATTCTGCGTCTTTATATATCAGGCGTTCCTTACTCGGGCAGATTACTGTACGTATTATACAAATTTCTGGTCTTAGAACCTCAATCACCCCTTTCACTTCATGTTTTGTCAAATTCCACCACATCTATAACCCTCCTGAACCGTCTCATATCACCCCAATCGCGCCCCCACTCCCTTTACTGCTCCGTTTTACCGGATACTGTGGGCTCCGTGCACCGAGATGCCTGGCCAGATGATAGTTGCGGAGCCACAATCCGCTCGACTATTCCGGCATTCCTGCGGCATTGGCGTCACTCTCGCTCTACGTGGACGCGCAGCTCCGCGTACTCCTTGGCAGCATGACTGACGGCAGCTCCGCAGCCACCGCGGCTGGGCGCTCCACGAACCTCTGGATCCGCGGCATCCTGGCGCTGCTGCTGGCCACGGGGCTGCTGGCGCTGGCGCTGGAGGCCTCGACGCTCGACTTCCAGCCCAAGCTGCGGCGCGTGGCGCAGACCAGCAACACGCAGCAGTTGATACAGCGTCGGCGGCCGCACCCGGGCTCCGGCAGCAGCTATGGCCAATCGCAGGACGCGACCGTCTCGCTGGAGGAGCTGCTGCAGCTGCAAAACGCCTCGAGAGCCAACGCCAGCGACGAGGTGGCGCCCGACGACCTGTTCCACTTGAGTCTGCTGCACGGCGCGTGCATCACGCACAAGGACGCCATCGTCACGTGGGAGTTCGGCGCCCCCGGGCCGCACCAGGACGACGAGGAGCACAACTTGGCCACGTTGATCCACGAGGACGACCCGGACCTGCTGCACATACTCAAGCAGTGCCCCGACGTGGACTTGTTCTTGCCTTCTGGAGTGAGGAACAACGGGTACTGCGAGGATACCATGGCGTACACCAAGTACTTGAGGACGAGGCTGCTGCCGCTGTGGGCGCTGACCAAGGAGATCTACGACCCGGAGCTGGGACGCAAGGTGGACTACTTTGATCTGTGTCCGAACACAGCGATGCTCTTCTTCCAGCACTACTGGGGGGACATCCCGTCGTCCCCGCGATGGCCCAAGAACAAGAAGATGTACCTGATGCCGAACATCGAGATGTGGGAACTCGACGAGAACCACTTCTGGCGCGTGGACATCGTGCTGTGCAAGACGCGGATCTGCGAGGACCGAGTAACCAAGTGGTACGAGCAGAAGGGCAACCCGCGCGAAACGAAGGTGGTCTATACCAAGCATACGTCGTCTGACCAGGCCAGCTACGCACGACGCGTTTTAGGGAATGAAGTTAAGCCCAAGAACTTCAGCGATGTGCGATTTATCCACACGGCCGGCGGCAGCTACTGGAAGGGGACAAGGCAGGTGATCGAGTGCTGGTTGTCGCGACCAAACTTCCCGCCGCTAGATCTGTATATCCACAAGTGGGCGTACGACGGCATATTCAAGGGCGCGTATGAGAAGCGCATTGCCAAGAGTCAGATCCGACTCACGACGGATGAAGTGGATGCCAACACCTTCACCAAGGCCATCGCAGAAAGCTCCTACTTCCTGTGTCCCAGTCAGATGGAGGGTTACGGTCACTACATGAACCAGGCGCGAGCTTCAGGCGGTGTTATCATCACTACAGACATGGATCCGATGAAGGAGCTCATCCAGAACGACGACATGGGGCTCAGGGTGAAGGCGAGAGCTGGTCACGACCGCAACATCTTCTTGGGTGGCAAAAGCAAGAAGCGCAATGGACTCCGTGATGTCCCCGGCATGGTGGCGTACTTCAGCTCCAGAGACTTGTGCAAGACGGTGGAGCACCTGCTCAACGATATCGACATGGACAAGCGAAGAGAAATGGGCGAGAATGCTCGGCGGCAGTACCACGAGGACACCAAGTTCTTCGAGCACGCGATGCTTAAACTGCGCGTCCGCGCGAGGCAAGATGCCAAAGCAATTAGCCTAATTGACCCCGAAGACGACGATATGGAGGTAATTTCCAGCGAGTCTCAAAAGCACCTTCGCGACAGGCCAACCACGGGGTGATTGACGTGAAGAATAGAGATTTATAGTTTAAGTAATAGACCAGCTCAGTGCTGAGGTTGACCATCAAGTCCTGGCAAACTCCCGCAACTCACGCATGGAGCGGGCGAAATACTTTGTGTCCTCGTGGTACTGTTGGCGCGCTCGGGCGCCCATGGTTGCGCGCTGCTCAGGGGTCGTGGATGAAATGAAATCGCGGACGGCATTGCAGAGCCCTCGAGAGTTATACCTCATAAGGAGGTCATCAGGGTCTTTCAGCCCGTGCTCGCCTCGAAATTTGCCACCGAGCAGCATCTTCGGGTCGTGCTGGTATCTGGCCGGCACGAGCACGCCCATTTCATTCGAGACGATCAACTCGTTCATGGGGTGGGCGTCAGTGGTGATCACAACTCCGCCGGATGCACGCGCCTGGTTGATATAGTGGCCATATCCTTCGCTCCAACTCGGGCACATGAAGAATGCTGACTCGGCAGTCAGCTTGCTGAAGTCTTGAGGCGTCAGCATACCGTGTTCGATATGAATGGGACTGCGAGCGCGATCAAGTTTGCGCTTATAGGACGGATGGAACAGATAATTGAACGCCGATATAGACGCTCAACTGAGGCAGCCCCGACGACATGGCCCAGCAATCCACGAACTCTATCGTTCCTTTCCAGACGCTCGTGCCGGCTGTGTGGATGAACTTGACATCGGAGAAATTCTTTCGGAGCGATGGAGTCGTCGCCCAGTCGCCGTCTCGCGAATTCCGCTTGGTCCGACGATGTGTGCTTCGTGTAGCAGACCTTGGCGTTGCGCGGGTTGCCGTTCTCCGCGTACCACCTCGTCACGCGGTCGTAGCACACGTGGGTCTTGCACAGCACGGCGCCAACACCCCAATAGTGAGACGGCGTGAGCTCGATCATCTCGATGTTGGGCATCAAGTACAGCGGTTTGTCCTTCGGCCAGCGTGGAGACTCCGGTACTCCGTCCCAGTAGTGGTTGAAGAAGATCATGGGCGTCTTGGGACAAGTCCACGTCACGTCCAAGCTCGGCGTCGTAAAACTTGGTCTCCAGAACCCACATCGGCAGCAGTCTCGACTCGAGATCTACAACATCCAGCGTCAGACACAACCTCATCCCCGCAACAACTTTAGATAGAAGGGCTTCTTACACTTTGCGTACGCGACCGCGTCCTCGCAGTATCCGTTGCCGCGCAGTCCAAGCGGCAGGAAGATGTCGACATCCGGACAGCGTCTCAACTTGTCCAGCAAGTTCGAGTCGTTCCGGTTAAGCAGCTCGTACGCGTTGTCCGCCGTAGCGTTCTCCAGTTGGTGGCCTCCTTGCGGTGCTCCGAACTGCCAGGGCACCACCGCGTCAATGTTCGTGACGCACGCCTCGTGCAGCAGACTGAGGTGCAGTCGGTCAGCAGCTGGGACTTCTCCTCCTTCCGTCTGCATCCACGCCGGCGCAGTTTCCATTGCTTCTGCACTTGCAATTGCACTGGCAATCGGTCCCTCTCGCTCTTCGTGTTGGCGACGCCATGAGACGCCGAGACGCACGGCACTGCGCAGTCGCGAGGCGTCTGCGTCCACATCTGGTGGCGCTATGCGCCACCAGAGCCATGAGGGACCCGCGCAGCCAGACTTGTCGTGCCCCTGGATTCTTCATTGGTACCCACGGATCGGAGTGCAAATGACCCCCGCCTGCCTGTCCAGCGCAGCAGCAGTTGTCAGTTGAACCTGTTCATGCGGTCGTGTAACAGTGAGCGACGAATTACAGGAGGGGGACACCGAATTAGACTCCGATTACTGTACGGAGCTGTTCGGAGCATCCTGCAACATGCGTCACTCCGCTCTCCCGGGGGCAGTGCTAAGTGCAGTGCACCATTATCCTATCCCCCCGTAGAGGTAGATAGATGCCCGCGTCCAAGTCCAAGACGCGGCCGCAGCATTGGCTGCACCGCGTGCTCGTGGGTCTCGTGGCGCTGGGCTTCCTCACGCTCGTGGTGCAGACCTCGTCGCTGCTCGGGAGCTCGGGCGACCAGCTCACGGGCAGCGCGCGCCTGCGCCGAGCCATCAGCTTCCGCATCCCGTGGCGGCACCGCGACAACCGCAGCGGCGACTTGGCGGCGGCAGTTGCGGAGCATGAATTAGCAGCAGAGACATTGAAGGAGGAGGAGGTCGACGAGGTGTCGGTCGAGGACTCGCTGCACTTAAGTCTGCTGCACGAACGCTGCGTGACCGACACGGACGCGGTGCTGCCGTGGCAGTTCGGCAGTCCGGGCCACCAGCTGCCCAACGCCACGGCCAGTAAACCCGAGGTGCTCATGCACCGCAACGACTCGGACTTGCTGCTGAAGCTCAGGCAGTGTCCCGACGTGGACGTGTTTCTGCCCAACCACTTGCACGGCAATGGGTATTGTGAGGATGCAGTCGCGTACGCCAAGTGTGAGATTCAAGCTCCACTCGATCATGTTGCTGCTGCATTGAGGCCTGACAATTGTGTATTTATTTTACAGACTTGAACTCTCGGTTGCTGCAAAAGTGGGCACTGCAAGTCAAGATGTACGACGCCGAGCTCGGACGCGAGGTGGACTACTTCGACCTGTGTCCCAAGACGCCCATGATCTTCTTCAACCACTACTGGGACGACGTGCCGTCGATGCCGCGCTGGCCCAAGGACAAGCCGATCTACCTCATGCCCAACATCGAAATGTTCGAGCTCACGCCCGAGTTCTACTGGAAGGTGGACGCCGTGCTGTGCAAGACGCAGATCTGTCTCGACCGCGTGACGAAATGGTACGACCAGGAGGGAAACCCGCGCAACGCGGAGATTTTCTTCACCAAGCACACGTCCTCGGACCAGGCGCTGTTCGCTCGCAAGCGGCTGGGAGAAGACGCCATCGCGCCCAAGGACTTCGAGAACGTCAAGTTCCTACACACGCCTGGAACAAGTATCTGGAAAGGGACCCGAGCCGTGTTGGATTGCTGGACTTCTACTGCAAACCTGCCGCCGCTCGACGTGTACATCGATGAGAGCGCGTACAACTACATGATGCCGGAGCCGTACCAGAAGAAGCTCAAGTTCAGCCGCAGCCCAGTTAACGTGCATCTGGGCATGCTTGAGCGTTCCAACTTCACCAAGCTCACTGCAGAGGCCGCGTTCCTCATGTGTCCAAGCCGGAGTGAAGGTTACGGCCACTACATCAACCAGGCCCGTGCGTCTGGAGCCGTCGTCGTCTCTACCAATGCAGCTCCGATGAACGAGCTCATTACCTCGAGAGACATGGGCGTGCTGGTGCAAGCCACGCTCCAGAAGGACGACAGGATGCTGCTAGGCGGCAAGTACAACGGCGAGCACGGACTCAAGAACGTCAACGGCGTTTTCCTCCTACCACCTCTGCCAAACGGTCAAGGCAATGCTTCAGTCGACTACGCCCGAACAGCGAGCAGCTATGGGGGAGAGGGCCCGCAAACAGTATCACGAAGACACCAAGTTCTTTGCGGACGCGATGCAAGAGCTGCGCGAGTTTGCAAGGAGTACAGGGGGGAGATAAGTGGTGATGTATGAAGATGACTGTTAATAAGCGCGTTGATCGCGTTCACTGTGGCTATTGAATCGAAGGCGATTAAGTTATGAGCCCCGTTTAACTCCACCGAAGCAACGGGTAGATGAACGCATGTGGTTTGGATCACTATGCCGTAGCGGATACCATGTGCTTGTACCGATAGCCAGTGGCGCAGTTCGCACAGCCATGAATACGAGAAGCTGTGTGAGGATTTGAAGTCGGCATCTCCACGTGGGGTGGCTTCACTTTATCTCGTGCTCGTCGCCATGGACAAGTCGAGCGCAGAGCAGACTTCGCGCGGTCGGCGGAGCTGGCTGCACTTGCAATTGCACTGGCAATCGGTCCCTCTCGCTCTTCGTGTTGGCGACGCCATGAGACGCCGAGACGCACGGCACTGCGCAGTCGCGAGGCGTCTGCGTCCACATCTGGTGGCGCTATGCGCCACCAGAGCCATGAGGGACCCGCGCAGCCAGACTTGTCGTGCCCCTGGATTCTTCATTGGTACCCACGGATCGGAGTGCAAATGACCCCCGCCTGCCTGTCCAGCGCAGCAGCAGTTGTCAGTTGAACCTGTTCATGCGGTCGTGTAACAGTGAGCGACGAATTACAGGAGGGGGACACCGAATTAGACTCCGATTACTGTACGGAGCTGTTCGGAGCATCCTGCAACATGCGTCACTCCGCTCTCCCGGGGGCAGTGCTAAGTGCAGTGCACCATTATCCTATCCCCCCGTAGAGGTAGATAGATGCCCGCGTCCAAGTCCAAGACGCGGCCGCAGCATTGGCTGCACCGCGTGCTCGTGGGTCTCGTGGCGCTGGGCTTCCTCACGCTCGTGGTGCAGACCTCGTCGCTGCTCGGGAGCTCGGGCGACCAGCTCACGGGCAGCGCGCGCCTGCGCCGAGCCATCAGCTTCCGCATCCCGTGGCGGCACCGCGACAACCGCAGCGGCGACTTGGCGGCGGCAGTTGCGGAGCATGAATTAGCAGCAGA